CCCCCCCCCCGAGCTTTGCTCCAGGAGCAAGACCGGCACCGCCGTTTTCATTAGCTCGGATCTGACAAGAACAGCCACCCCCGCCCCTCGCCCCCCAGATGCAGAAGGGATTTCTAGCGAGGTCGTCGTTAAAACCAGCCAGAGACGGATTCATTTACCAGCTTTCAAACCATTTTGCGAGTCTCCCTCAGAGCAGCGCTGGACTCGCTCAGCTTTCTGGTCCAAGAAAGCTTTCAGCGGATTTGCCTTCCTTATTCCTTTTATTACCTTGCTTTAATCCTTTCCTCGTCGTTTCTCTCTCCCCTCCCAAACTCCCCCCCCACCCCCAACAGCCCCCTCTCTCTCCCTTGTCCACGACTTAATAAAAAGCAAACCAACTCGGGGCATGAGAATCGTTCTAAAAACCACTTCAGGGAGGTCAAGGGAGCCGAGGCGCTGCCGGTACCCGCAGCTTGGCGAGCAGTAGCCCTGCGGCGGATCCGCTCGCCAAACTGCGGGTACCGGCAGCGCCCGGGCTCCCTCATCCCCGGCTCCGCCGCAGCGGAATCACAGCCGCGCTCAAGGAGGAGAGTATTTGGGGATGTGAGGGTGTTAAATACGGGGTTTTCAGCCCGTTACTTCCCCAGCGATTAATTTTGACGAACGAAGCAGCAGCCTGAAAGAAACGATGTGAGAGGGCAGTCCTCGATGCTGCGGCGTTATACGCGGCCTCGGGGTTTCTGTTCGGCAAAGTTAAAGAACGGCAAGAATAAAAATTAAAGGGAGGGATGCCGGGACCGGGCAGATGATTTTTTAAAATACATATATGTAATTTTTTTTTTTAAAAGCGCTGCGGTGCAGGGGCTCGCAGAGGCACTCCGGCTTGGCCGAGCCGAAGAAGGGCTGCCCCGGGTCTGCCTCGGTCGGAGCGCTCTGCCAGCCCCTCCTTGCATTAAAACTGTAACGAAAAGTCCATTAGTTCCCAATCAGGGCTAATCCGCAGCCCGCGGAAAGGACCGCAATAAACCCCTCTCTCTAATGGCCAATTTGTGTCCCTGGAAGCGGGAGGTTAATTCGGGAATCGTTACCGGGGGAAAGGGTGCTCGCAAATACCTGGCGATCTGGCCGGGGGTGGGTGTGGGGGCAATAACCGGGAAAACTTTTTTCTTGACGGTTTTCGTTTGGCTGGCTTGGGTTTTGCGTGAAGTCCTCTCAGCGAGTTTGACGGGGGATTCCCCCAGCCCCCGTTAGCTGGGAGCGAAGCCTTGCGAACACAAAAAAGCAAACGGGGAGCCTGCAGCCGCCCTTCCCGGTAAACGAGGCGATTGGGGCTGCGGTGTGGCCGGGGGGGGCCGGGTCCGGCCGACGGGTCCGGCCGTGGGGCTCTGCCCTCCCGGTGTCGTCCCCCCCCCCCAACCCCGCACCTCCACCGGGAGAGCTGCCGGCTGCGGGGCGAGGGGAGCATCCCCGCCTGCGGGAAGGGTGGATCGGCAAGAGCAGGGGCAGAAAGGGACACGCACCGCTTGAAACCCGATCTCACCCTTTTTTTTTTCCCTCCGAGTGACCCCAAACCTGCCCTGTCTCGGCACCAAATGCATCCAAAAAGGGAAGGGCGAAAGAGCGGCCGAAAAGTCTGCGCTCCGCAGCAACCGGTTGCCAATTCCGTATGTATATGTGCTTTATGGCGAGACCGTTTTCAGGCTGGGTTTGGAAGGGGTCACTCCCGAGGGTCCCTTCCCAGCCAGGGCTGCGGGAACCCAGGTGAGAGCTAACGGGTCCCGCGTTTAGAGGCGGCAGCTCCCACCGGGCGAGTCAGTGAATCGGGGGGAATCGCCCGGCTCTCCAGCTCCGGGCCATCCAGGTGTCCCCTCCCGGCGACACCCCAGGGAGAAAGGGAGCAGCCCAGGGTAGCCCTGCCTGGCTTGTTTTCGAGGAGCCGTGTCCTTTCCACTGGGACAAGGAGCGGGCATCGCTCGCGGGTTGAGGACCCGGTGCGAGGCGCAGGAGAGAGCGGGCGGATGCTGCAAGATCTCGATCTCTGTAAGAAAAAAAAAAAAAAAAAAAAAAAGTCTTTATTCCCGTGCAATTTAAAGATTCGGGCTTGTGTCACTTCCCGGGAAAAGGCAGAGGTGCCCGCTGGTCCCCGCACACCGGGAGCGGCAGCGAGTGGTTGCGGGTAACGGGCAACCAGGAGCGGGCGGCGGGGGTGAGCCCGGGTCTCGCAGGGGGCCGAGGGGGGAGGAGGCAGGAATGTTCTTCTCCCCTTTTCCCAGCCACCTCCGTGTCGTCGTCCCGTCCCCCGCCTCGCCCCCCAAAACCTCCACCGTCCTCCCGGGGCTCCGACCGGCTGCGGGGTGGCTGGAGGGAGGCACGGTGGGATTTTTTTGGGGTGTCGGGTCCAGTACCCTAGGTCCGCCCTGCGGGCGGTGGGAGAGTAAATAACCTCGGTTGAGGGAGTGGGGTCATTTCACTGGGGAGGGGGGGGGAAGAGAGAGGGGAATCTTTCACACCGTTCCCTCCCGGCTCTTTGGCAGAGCCCTGCTCCTGGAAATTGCCTCCAGGTTGTTTCCCCCTTGCTTTGTGCGGTCACTTCAGAGCTGCGGGCTCCTTTTGTCCCGGACCGAGATTTGAAGGCGACCTATTTATAAACACCACTGCTAGGGGGGAGCAGAGGGGGGAAAAAAAAGCGTTCGTGCTAATCTCCCCGAACGTTTTGGGCTTGGGTTTTGGTAGGGTGGGGTTTGGTTTTGTTTTGTGGGTTTTTTTTTTCCAGCGGGACGAAGGTTGCATCTTTATTTCGGGAGTCCCGCCGGTACCTGCCCCCTCGCCCGGGCCTGAGCTGCGCCGGGGCGGACGGGGGCTTCGCTCTCCTGCCCTCGGCGTCTTCCCTCGGGGATAAATACCTATGCACTACATATGTATCGTCGATTGTTATTAAAACACGTTCCTCGTGTCACGAAGGGGCTTGCGGAGAACTGGAGCTGACCCGTTCCTCTGCTTCCCGGGGAGAGCGAAGGAGGAGGCTCCGAGTCGGGCCAGGCTGGCCGGGTTTGTGGGGGCAAAACCTCTTCTCCCCACGTCCTCCGAGGCGTCTCTCGTCCCCCACTTCAAGCAAGACATCAAAGTCTGCTCCCGGGCTCCGCTTCCCGCAGGCTCTCGCCCCGCAGCCCCGCTCTCCGCAGCCCGGCCCTCCCCGGGGTTTGTTCCATACGGATCCATAGGTGCGTGTCCCTACAGCTCTGGGTTTTCTGCACCAAAAGCGGGCACCTGCTTTGGTGCCTCGGCCCCCGGGCTGCCCTCCGCTCCCGGGGTCCCCTCGGCACGGCGTGTGCTCAGACCCCCGGTGCCCGCTCGGGGAGGAGGGGGCGAGGCGGGGGCCCCTCGGCCCACGGGGCACCGGTGGGGGGCGGGGGGGCAGAGCTGCCACGGTGGGGCTCTGCGGACCGCTCCGGGCCGCAG